GCTCTCTCTCTCTCTCTCTCTCTCTCTCTCTCTCTCTCTCTCTCTCTCTCTCTCTCTCTCTCTCTCTTAAAAAAAAAATGAAAACAAAAATAATCTTTCAATCAGTCTATCATTCTATCAATCCAATGATTAGATTGATTGATTGATTGATTGATCGGACTGTGATTGTGTGTGCGATTGTGTCTGTGTGACTCTGTCTATGTGACTGTGTGTGTTGGTGTATGCTCTCTCTCTCTCTCTCTCTCTCTCTCTCTCTCTCTCTCTCTCTCTCTCTCTCTCTATCTCTATCTCTCCAAAAAAAAAAATACAAAATTTAATCAATCAATTAATGAATCATTCAATCTATCCAATGAATAGATTGATTGAAAGATTGATTGATTAATTGATTGATCGGACTGTGAGTGTGTGTGCGACTGTGGCTGTGTGACTCTGTGTGTCCGATTGTGTGTGTGTGTGCTCTCTCTCTCTCTCTCTCTCTCTCTCTCTCTCTCTCTCTCTCTCTCTTTTCAAAAAAAAAAATGAAAACAAAAATATTCATTCAATCAATCAATCATTCCAATGATTAAATTGATTGATTGATTGATTGATCGGACTGTGATTGTGTGTGTGACTGTGTCTGTGTGACTCTGTCTATGTGACTGTGTGTGTTGGTGTGTGCTCTCTCTCTCTCTCTCTCTCTATATATATATATATATATATATCCCAAAAAATATATAAAAAAAAAACAAAAAAATTCAATCATTCAATCAATCATTCAATCAATCCAATGAATTGAATTGTCGTGCGGGGTTTTTGACATGTCATCAAGTTGGTCACTCAGTCGCTGCATTGGATCTAAGTCAGGCGGTCTGCTCGAAGGTCAATCTGTCATGAAGTTGGTGAGTCTGTCTCTAAATCAGTCTGTTTTCCAGTGCATCGTTGACTATGCAAGTCACTGAGTCTGTCAGCCGATGACTATTTGCTGATTACAGGACTCAACGTTGTTCTTTTGCGATTTGGCAGTTCATCCGTTTCGAGATTGTGTTGCCAACATTGCACCGTCCAGCGCCCACTACACGTACGGCGTGGGAGAGGGTCGGCCATCTGTCATGGATGACGCACCTAGCAGTTGCAAGCCTGATGAGGGCAGGTCAGCAGACCGGCCACCCACTTGGCCTGCGCGTGGGAACGCCACGCCGGTGTCACCGCATGCCGGACAACATGGTTTGTTGGGAGTATCCCCTTACGGCAGCCCGAATGACATGCGATCAACAAAGAGGCCTCATGTTCAGTCTCTTTCGCCTGCGGTCGTCGTCACTCCCGGCGTTGCAGTTGTGCATTCTTCGTTGCCGCCCTTGTTGTCGTCTCCAGCACGCCCGTCATACACTCCGATACACCCTTTGTCGGATTTCGATGCGTTGTGTTTTTCTATGCTGTCACCGCCATTGCAACCTCGCCGTTTGCAGTTTTTGTCATTTGCAGCGCAGCCATTTCCTCCTCCACTTGTCGTTGGACGCGACGGGTTGGACTTCATCCCCCTCGAGGGGTGTTCTCAATCATCAGCAACGGTGTTTGGAAGTGGAGGGTCCACACTGCGTGACAGATGTCGTCGGAGTGCAGAACCGCGGGTCTCACATTCGTTCGCCGCATCAAGTCATGGGCAGGGGGGTGTATTGGATGACGTACGTCGTGCCTCTGTCGGGGACACACATGACCGTAGTTCCGCCCGTCGCTCTCTCGTCTCCCGGTTCGACGGGGATGACATCGTGTGTGGTAGCGGAGATGGGCCCGGACGTTGCCATCCTACCGCTCAAAATCTTGGTGCGGGCCCTTCTGAGCAGTCAGGCGAGTCCTTAGGGCAATTCGGTTCGCAGTCAACTAGTTCCACGAAGTACTCTCGTTTGTTCCTGACTTCCGCTTGCAAGGAGAGACTGCGCCTTTTACAATCTGCGATGAAAGAAGTGAGCGAAAAGTCTGGGGTCATGAGCAATGTCATCGACCGACTGTTGCATTGGTCATTGCCAGCCATCCGGTTAGAGTTCGGGGACGGTGTGCCGTCGAGGATCGAGAGAACACTACCAGCCGACAGTCGTGCTGAGGTGTTCCGTCTCGGAGCAGGTGGGGATGATTCGACAGCGGACGCTAAGGATGATGGCGAGCGTGAGGGCGCAGGGAGCGGTGGAGGCAATGGCGGGTCATTTTGTGGGTCGGATGATTCACTTCCGCATTCTAGGCACGGGTCACAGCGTGGCCGCAGATCGCGTGGGCGGCCACTAAGCCGTGGCAGGTCGCGTTCGCATTTCAATCATGTACGGCCTTTGTACTGGGATGATTCGAAGGATGGTGCTCTGCAGAGCGGACCTTGCCATGATCGGTCTGCATATGTGTTGGAATCGACTGGGAAGGCTCGAAAGCGCCTGATGTCGAGCCGGTGAAGCTGCTGCAGTTGCTCGGGTTGTTCGATTTAAGTTGCCCGCGCCACGGGGCCGGTTGTCGTGTGGATGTGTCCTCTGTCGGTTACCCTGGGCAGATTTATCGCATTTCGCTCGCTTGTAAGAAGTCCTGTGGTTAGACATGGCACAATGCATTGGTTGCGGGAGCTCTGTACTCTTGCAGACTTCAGCGGCAGTTGTTCCATGCGACCGTCAGAACGGGTATGACATATACCGTCCTCAACGACTTCTGCATCGCGCTTGGGGTGGCGCCTGTGCACAAGCCCACTTTTTACAGTTGCATGCGTGGTGAGCCGAATGTGCGTGAGGGTTGGAATGCAAAGGCTGTCAAGCAGGGCGTGCGGTATTGCGACTTAGCTATTGACATGATTATACGATCAGGGAGACCAGTCACTTTGATGGTTGACGGTCGCTACGACTCGGCCAGATCTGCGTAGCATTGCACTATTACCTCGATTGAGTGTGATACTCGTCTTGTGGTGGGTGTTCATACTCTTCGCCCAAAGGAGGGAAAGGCATCGAACCAACTTGAGGTTCCTGCTGTTGTGCGCCTGTTAATGGCTTGTTGTCGAGGGGGTTGCGGATCCGGTGTGTTGTCTCTGACGATTGTGCTGCATTGGGTCCGCAGTTGGAGCGCCTGGGTATTGAATGGCAGAAGGATTGCCATCATAAGGTGAAAGACATTCGCAAGGCATTGAGAAAATCCGTGACACTGAAGGTGCCAAAGAAATCGAACAACCCTCATAAGTGCGTCTCAGAATCTCAGTTTATGCAGTTCACGAAGAAGGAGCTGTTGGATGCCTTGACGGACCGTTTTGGACCTGGGTGTTTGACGGCAAAAGAAGAACGATTGAAGAAGAGCGACTTCGTCGCTGTTGTGATTAGCAAAATGTACCCGTACGACACGATGACAAACAACCAATCCTTGCTCATGGATGCAGATGGTGTGACCGAGTTCCATATGCATGAGGTGGGGCATTGGTTTCTTCTTGCTTCCCAGCTTTGCAGAGATGAGGGCGGCGACTTTGTCACTCTGCACAATGATATCATGATGATCTCCAACCATTGGGCAGGGGACCACTTCAGGTGCGTTGCGGACAGAGAGCTTCTATGCTCCAAGGCTGGTGGTCCATCTCGGCTGCCTCTGTACACGCACGGCGACCCCGCGTGTGACATCATTCACCAGACATTGGGAAGGCATTGCAGCACGACCATTTGTTCGTACTACACGGAGTTCCGACACACGTCGACGGTTGAGACCTTCCAGGGCACAATCATCATTTACGTGAAGAAGGCCTTGCACTTCGAGAAGTCGTATGAGCCTCGTTTGGCGATTGCAGTCATTCGATGGAACAGTCATGCATGGCAGGATCCCTTGGAGTATCGTGTCCGCAGGCCTTCTGGGACTTCAATTCGTCCAAGGCCGAGCCACTACCGTCACAATCGGCCACCTACTGATTCGTGGATGGATCGGCTGTCCACGTTCATCTTCGGTTCGCAAGGCGTTTCTGATTGGGCTCGACGCCTTCTCGAGTACGATGATTGTGACGTGTCGGGCGAGGTCGGGTCCTCAACACCTCCTCTGCCTCCCGTTTTTTTTTGCAGAGGTGAGGACACCATTGGCCGTGACGGGGACGACGTTGATTCTGGTGCGGATCCCGACGTTGTGGGGGATGACGGTGTTTTCATCATTGGTGACGAGGATCAGTTGCCTAGACCGGCAAATCCCATGTCCGATCGATCGTGCGATTCTCTATCGGATGCAGATGATGTCGAGTTGTTCGACGACTAACATTGTGTTATGTTGTATTCTCTTGTACATGTGACTTTTATATTTGTTGGCTTTTTAGTTGGACGTGTTGATGGTCGTTATATATATATATATATAGATACTTGCTCAGTGTGACTGCCGAGACTGATGGCGAGGCTGTATACTACCCCGTAGGGTTAGATTTGTAATTTTGTTTGACTGAGGGGTAACCGTGAAACCCACCTGTGAGGAAAATTCGTGAGGGTCATATCTGTAAATATGGGAAATATAGGCCCAGCAGTATTTTGAATTTCCTATACCTACCCTTACTGCGAATAGCAGGCTCGGACTACCCCTAGGACAGACAGACCCTAATGGCCTAAGCTGAGAGACGGTCCTATAGCCTATAGTCGGGTCCGGTAGAGGCCGAGAGGCCGAAACTGCAACGTTATTGGTCGGTTAGTCAGTCCGGTCTAAGTGTAGGTTAGAGTACTGTACTCTATTAGTAGAATGAGGGAAATCGATTGGCGACTTTTAGCAGATCTTTTTTGCGATACAGCGTTGGGAGCCAGGGGCGTTTTGGAGCAATGTCTGTCAGCAGGCGGTATCCTCTGACTTCGCCGTTGACAACAGCCATAGCAGCCATACGAGGTATGTCGTAGCTACCCGTCCTCTTCCACAAGCGCTTACCCATGAGGGTATATGCGACTAGTGGGGCTACAGCGATGCTGCACACTGTGTGTTCGCGGGTAGTGGCATCTGCAAGTGCATGTTTCTTTGTCGGAGTTGTCCATCGACACGGAAGACTTCATCGCAGGACCTGATATTCATCAGGGTGTTTGGCGCTGACATGTGGGAGGCCATTCTGATGTGGCGCTACTAAGTGGGTGTACGATAGAAAGCGTGCTGCGAGTTATGAAAGTGGCGAGATACTGGAACAAACTCTGTTATGATATTCGTTCGAGTTGGCTCATCATCAGCATCATTTCAATTGTGATCTTGCTGAGGTCCTTTCTTGTGATTGTTTGTTGGGAGTCTGTCGGAGAGTGAGAGTCATTGTGTAACCTCCCCCGTCTGTGCATGGTTGAATTCCGCTGCTTATCCTTGTCTGTATGCAGTTTGGATTCTGTCTCCTCCCCCCCTCTTCTTATGCATGTGTGGGCGTGTATGAGATTTTCTGTGTGTGAGTGCCGGTAAAAAACGTCAGACAACCAAGTTATATATATATATATATATATATATATATATATATATCGTCACAAACAGAACTGCCCGGTGAACCATAGGCAGAGAGAGAGAAGAGGACAACAAACGAGGGGCTGTAAACTGTTTCGTCGGAGTTTATATGTATATTATTTTTCACACATCTGATGGTATCTTATTTCTTGTGCTTTGTTTATTTATTTTATTTTTTTCCATGTACGTGTAAATATTATCGGACCAATGTCAAGTTGCACATACATCCATACTTCACATGCTTACGCTCTTAGGCAATAGTTGTTTGACATTATATAGCCGAACCAATTCAGATTTTCACGTTGATCCAATAATACAATGACATCCAATTGCAACACTAAATGAATGAACTTGAGTGGCGAGAGCGAGGATTATAATCGCTCAGACTCCATAGCCAATAGTACAATGACATACAATTGCAAAAAGAAATAAATGAACTTGAAATGAGAGATCGAGGATTATAAGAAGAAGAAGATGATGTATATCAGGGAAACCAAATTTTACATAATGCAATCCCTGCAAGTCACGACAATAGGTAAGTACCGGGCCTGATGGCCTGTCGAACAAGCACGGGCCGTTACGGGGCAAACGAAAAGCAACCCCCACTCTTACGGTTACGATCACACACACACTCAAGGCAAACACACAGTCGGACTGTATACGTAGTTACTCTCAAGGCAAGCATACTCTCTCTCTCTCTCTCTCTCTCTCTCTCTCTCTCTCTCTCTCTCTCTCTCTCTTTCTCTCTCTCTCTCTCTATCTATCTATCTATTTATCTATTTATCTATCTATCTATCTATCTATCTATCTATCTATATCTATCTAGTTATCTCTCGTGTCGTGAAGCATTTACCACCGTGCACGTCGACGTGGGCGCAAATTTTCAGGAGGATCACATTGCCATAGTTCAAAACCTCGAATGATTGTATCTGGCCATCGTTCCCGCATTGCCGTTTGGAACTCATCTGGCAATCTCTGTCGGAAAACGACGAACCCGCACAACCGAGAAAAAACGACGTATCCATTGTAACGATTCTGCTTTGGTTCGAGATTTGCACGACCAATAAACAGATTCATGCACTGTTGCAGATGCTCCTCCGGCCCAGCAAAAGTTACAGCCTCTTCCAAAAGTGTTGCGGGTCCCGGCCATCGATTCCTAATCTCGGCGACTGTCAGCTCCTCGTCGCAGAAAGGATCAGTATCTGACTCATTTCCAAATACGACTGCGTCGGCCCCCACGGCATCCCTGCGTCGTCGGCGGTCCATGTGTGGGAAAGGGTGAATATTGTTATGTCGCTTATGTGTTAATTTTTAAAAATCTACAAAACAAAACATTACGGGCACCGATTACCTTAGTACTGTGCCTCCACATAACGAAAACGAAAACATATTTTAAAATGCAAAGCAGGTAAAGAAAAAAAAACGAAAACATATAACAAACACATGGGAGATGACGATTGCATATGTATACACAAAATGTACAATCATTGAAACCATCAGTTTCTTTCTCTCCAACAAGGAAGAAACATAGCAAAAAAAAACGAATGGTACTCATCGCCGGATACCACTGCAAGGATAGAACATGGCAGATAAATCCTCGCCATTGGATACAAAATAGGGCGGTGACACGATCAGGCGCCAGACGCCGTCCCGAGCGACCGTCCCGTAGAGTGTGTATAGTATGAGATGCACTAGGGGGTAGACGATATCATACATCAAATAACCGTCGACCGGTTTGAGAACAAAGGTACTGAAGTACGTAGTCGGCTTAGACATTAGCACATGAACGTGTTCGATGGCGTGGTCACGAATATAAGTCTCTGTAGTGAGTCTGACGACTTGTTCCTCCTCAATGCTGACAACGAAATGACGATCCACCATCTTGTCTTCATTGCGGTAACCCACTGCATCGCCGATAAGATCTGTTACAGGAGTCATTTATTCGTAATAGTATACGGTGTCGCCGCCTGTCAGTTTTGTGTTGTGGTAACATCGAAAAATCATTGGCGCGCAAGGCATCGTCGCTTCTTTCGTGTGGATTTATTGGAAACTGCTGCCATTTACAGAAAGTGAAACCGTAAGTTATGAACCTGACGATCGAACAAAGAATAACGCAAACATGATGTTCTACATGTACCGTACGGGAAGAGGGAACGCCCTTCATACATATATATGGGAGGAGCGGGTAGTCGCGAGACCGAATAATGTCGAATGTTGAAAACCTTTAGGATTTTGTTCCTCAGCCCACCTGATTCGGACTACGTGTGAGACGAGCGGGACAATGGTTCGTTGACACTTTCGCAATTTTGTCCGCAACCATCCATTGGCAACACACTGCGCACATCTCCATGGAGAAAATTACGGCGTTGTAGCGGGCGGTCGAGTTTGGAGAAATATCATGCATTGCTTGCTAACCTTTCCACATGCTCGACCACAACGATTGACACGATGCGCCTTAACAAATGCCGAATGATATCGAAGTCGGGGGGTTCGCAGGCGTCGGGAACGATATCCGAAAGTTTTTTTGCGTGCATTACAACCTCGTCAAGGCAATCATGGGCGTCGTACCCCAGCCCCGCCACGACCCTCAAAGCGAGGGGGTCAGCGATGAACGCGTAGTACACACGTGTTTTCGTGGCGACAACCCCTTCCAAGTATTCAAAGTCTCTTTCGTTCTCAGTATCGCGCTCACACACTGTCTCTCTCACGACGATTTTCATTCCATCCACAACCTCTTTCACGACAACAACTACATCGGCCATGTTGTGTCATAGGGTCGAATAAGTGAACCTGGCAATTATGAAAAGTCCCAATGGCGGGCCAACGGCACTGGAAAGATAACGACAACACAATGCGTAGGATAAGCGACGGGCAAAATGAGTCGAGTCTCACGACTGCAAATAATAATAATAATAATAATAATAATAATAACGAATAGTGGCACGTTGGTTGGTTAGTTGGGTGGTTGGGCGGTTGGGTAAGGTGGTTGGTTGGGTGGTTTAGCGGATGGAAGGGTGGTTGTGTGGCTGGTTGCTTGGTTGGTTGGGTGGTTAGGTGTGTGGTTTGGTTGTTTGGTGGGTTGGTTGGTTGGCTGGTTGGGTGGTTAGGTGGGTGGTTGGGTGGCTGGATGAGCGGGCTCCAAAACATGGGGTGGTTGAATGGTTGGTTGGGGCTGGCGATTGGTTCGGTGGCTGGAGTGGATGGTTTGGTGGTTGTGGTGGTTCGTTGAGTGGTTGGGAGGGTCGTACATTTGGGTATTATGGTTGGGTGAGTGAGTTTGTGGATTGGTTGGTTGGTTGGGTGGTGGGTGGGTGCGTGGTTGGGTCGTGGGCTGGCGGGTTGGTGGGTGGGTGGTTACGTGGGTGGTTGGGTGGTTAGGGGGGTTGGTTGGTTTGGTGGTTGGGTGGTTAGGTGGGTGGTTGATTGGATAGATTGATTGATTGATTGATTGATTGATCAATTGATTGATTGATTGATTGATTTTGTTTTTTGTTTTTTATTGAACAAAGAGAGAGAGAGAGAGAGAGAGAGAGAGAGGCGTACTTACGTGTGTGAACCATATCACTTTGCGAAGAAACGAACCCAACATATGTTGCACGTTCTCCCAGTCCCAAAGGCCACATCATATGTTTGTGAATGACAATTTTTTTTTTGAGGTGACTGATCGGTTTGATGTGCTGAGCGATGGAACATTCCTCTGACATAAGGTTCCCGAAGACGGGGAAACCATTGTTGTGCTCCCAATTGGGTAGCGACCAAATGCTAGGCAACGACCTTCACTGTTCCACCTTACAGTCTCTGTGCCAGACATCACCTTGTTCACATGAGAACCATCAGCACATGGTCGA